ATTATGCACCATGACCAAGTGGGATTTATCCGTGGATGCAAGGATTTTTCAATAGTGAGCTGAATTTAAATTTTTCAATATTCATAAATAACTATGATACATCACATTAATAGAACAAAAGATAAAAATTATGTGATCATCTCAATACAGGCAGAAAAAGCATTTGACAAAATACAACAAACATTATTATTAAAACCCTCAACAAAATAGATGTAGAATAACATACCTCAGCATAAGAGAAGTCATATACAACAACCCCACTATTAACATTATACTCAGCAGTGAAAAATTGAAAGCTGTTCCTCCATGATCAAAAACACAACAAGGATGCCCATTCTCACCACTTTTATTCAACACTAGTGGCCAGGTGCATGGATTCCTGCACAGTGAAAGGAAATTAATTAGAAGGTGGCTGGCAGGGTGGGACTGGGTGAGATAGGCCAGACACACCCTGGAGCCAACATCCCATGGTCCCTCCCCTGACCTCGCCATTTTCCGGAAGCCAGTAGAAACCCTGCTTAACATCCTCACTGCCATCACAGACTACATAAAAGGAAATTTTCTGAAGTTCAAACACCAATTAGATGCTGAATCTTAAATATCTCCTTATATGAGATACAAAGTTTTCTGACGTCAGGTGTTACTCTTTCCCCAAAGCTGATACAGTAAATCTACACTTTAAAAAAAATTTTTTAAAAAGTGGCTCTCTTCTCTTCACCACACAGGTCTGGCTCAATGGCTGGTTCAGCACAGCTGGTGGGTCAGTCGCTGTTTCTGGGACAGTTCGAACATCCCATGGGCCAAATAAAAATGGTTTTTGCTTAATTAGGCCTAGATCTTCAATATCACACGTTGTGGCTGCAAAGAAAGAAGAAACATCTAATAGTAAGAACAAAAAGTCAGGTGAATAGAAAACTAGGATTAGAGAGATAAATTTTCTGATCTCAGACACGCAGCACCCAGGTACAAGCTGATCCTGTCACGCGTTAGACAAGTCCACTGGTGGATTACAGTGTGACCCTGAAATGTCTTTGTAAAAATTAATAATTTAAATATTTGGAATTAAAAAATATAGCCGAAACCGGTTTGGCTCAGCGGTAGAGCGTCGGTCTGCGGACTAAAAGGTCTCAGGTTCGATTTCAGTCAGGGCATGTACCTTGGTTGTGGGCACATCCCCAGTAGGGGGTGTGCAAGAGGCAGCTGGTCGATGTTTCTCTTTGGATATATTTTATTGACTTTTCACAGAGAGGAAGAGAGAGGGATAGAGAGTTAGAAACATTGATGAGAGAGAAACATCCATCAGCTGGCCTCCTGCACACCCCCTCCTGGGGATGTGCCCGCAACCAGTGTGCATGCCCTTGACCGGAATCGAACCCGGGACCTTTGAGTCCGCAGGCCAACGGTCTATCCATCGAGCCAAACCGGTCTCATGATGTTTCTCTCTCATCGACGTTTCTAGCTCTCTATCTCTCTCCCTTCCTCTCTGTAAAAAATCAATAAAAAATAAAAATATAAAAATAAAAAATTATATATATATATATATATATATATATATATATATATATAAATTCCAAATATTTAAATCAATAATTTTTACAAAGATATTTCAGGGTCAAACTGTAATCCACTTATTACACCAGTAGACTTGTCTAACACGTGACAGGATCATCTTGTACCTGGGAGCTGCGTGTCTGGGATCAGAAATTCCAGGTTACCAGTGTGCAGTTTATAGGATTGCCACAAGATGGCAGAACTGAGAATGACAAATTCCTGGAAGCTAAAGTAGCCAAGTCAAATTTTTTTACTTGTATGTTTTTTAATTACAATTAATATCTATTTCATATTTAAATATCCTAAAATGGTCCATTGAGTAATATATTAGAGCGTCATTGTTTTAACTATGAAAGAAATTAATGAAAGCAGAAATATAAACACTAAAGAAACAGATTAGGTAGGTGGGATCATCAGTTGATGATGGTGGTGACGGTAATAGATATGAATAGACAAACAAATATATAGATACAACAGCTATATAATGGTCTTTTTAAATATCCTAGATTCCTTTTTCTTTATTGCATTGCATGATGCTTTAGGGAATAAAGAGATTGTTATTACAGGAAATAAAGAAAAAGGAGTTGACATTCAACTCTGGCCTTTCAAAATAGGCTTTTTGGGTCCCAATAATAAAATAATTTTGAAAGACTAAGGTTTTCTAAACTTCAAATTGTTCCCCTTTATATACTAAGAATATGGTTTGGTAGGACTCAGAACACAATTATATTATACACTATAGGTAAGGAAGATGCAAAATATAATTTTATGGAACTGCCCAAACAGAAAGGGAAAAGATAAAGTCTTTTGCTAGAGGGTGGCAAAGGAGAGGCATGTGAAACAGAAAAGAGAAGGGGACAGACACTACCTAAAATCATTGCCTTCTCAGATCTAAGGCCAAGAGGAAATGTGCTGGCAAGAATGAAAGCCCGGGTGGGTTGAGGGGAAAGCCCAATGCAGAAAGGCATATGCCCCATTTGGCCACTGTGCCTTATTCTGGTTCCATTGATCAGGGAAGCTTCCAGATGCTCTCCAGAAAGAAGCCCTGGGATAGGATAGAGGGTGAGAAGGGAAGTAAGGGTAGCAAGGCAGGGTCCCACCTCAAAATTTGAGGTTATTAACTCATGCTTCCACCCCATTCCTCATGCCTCCACAAGCTCAGTGTTTCCATAATGCATCTCTGCAGTGCACACAAGCCAGCCCTGTGGTTCCCTCACCTTGGTCCTCAACATTTAAGCACACAGATATGGGAAGGAAACATTCTCTGACACCCCCATCTCCAAAGGTCCCTCCAGAGTTCAGAGCCCCATCTGACACCTGAAGTTTTCAGCAGGACAAACGCTGAGGGCAGCTGTGAGTCATTCCATCGCCTGTCACATTCCCCACTAAAAGGACCCATGTCAGCAGATGCAAGTTCTCAGTTCCTGCCATGCCCATTCTTTCTCCTTGAGACTTGGATCAATTAAAGGAAAGAGAAAAAAAAAAAAAAACAGTTAAAAAATGCATCTAAAACTATTAATGTTCTAGAACTGCTTACTCATGTCTAAGCCCCATAGCACTACAAGAACCCTGTCTTCTTCTATCTCTGTAATCTTAACAAATTAATGATAACAACTGATTCTAAATATCAGAACCAGAATTCAAACTCAGGTGCTGGAGCTAGGGTCAGGATCGCCTGGATCACTTAGTCAGGATGCTATCCTCCCTCTGTGGCACAGATTTATGATTCTTACCCAGTTCTGGGCTCTACACCATCACTAGAAGCCACTCACCCAGACCCTAGAACATAGGATATGCCTGCTGGAGCCCAGCCACCCATTCCCAAAGGATGACCTAGGCATGCATTTAGTGTAACCAGTCACATTTGGTCTCCCTTACCTTTATATCCCAGTTTACCTCTTGGTCTTCCATACTTCCTTCTGATTTTTTTTTCTTCCCTTCTCACTGTAAAGGCTACATCTGCTACATTACCCAAGCTAATGCAGTAACATGTTTGTGGGTGAACATTTCATTTCATCTTTGAATGGTTAATTCAAAACTTTGATGTCGGACATTTTTAGCTCATTTTTTTTATATACCACTTAATCTCCTAAACTGGATTATGAAGAAAATGGCTCTGTACTTCCAATGTCTACAACTTAACAGATGCTCAACTTATATTTATTGAACAAAAAAAAATTGCACTGGGCTAGACACTTAAGAGAAATTATCTTAAGTAAGAACTATTTTGAGGACATTATGTAGATAACTGATATTTTAGTGTCAAAGGATTTCAGCAATTAATAAAGCCATTTTAATTTTCACAACAGAAGCAGCTTATCACCAACAAATATATAACAAATTCTACAAATCTCTGTCTCCAGAGATACACAAGACAAACCACAACATACTAACAACAGGTGGAGACCATGTGGCCTCTTATTAAGTCTTAATCAGACCCGACAAGAGGAATCAGGAGCCGAAAGCCGGTTTGGCTCAGTGGTAGAGCGTCAGTCCGCGGACTGAAGGATCCCAGATTCGATTCCGGTCAAGGGCATGTACATTGGTTGCGGGCACATCTCCAGTGAGGGGTGTGCAAGAGGCAGCTGGTCGATGTTTCTCTCTCATCGATGTTTCTGGCTCTCTATCTCTCTCCCTTCCTCTCTGTAAAAAATCAATAAAATATATATATTTTTTAAAGAGTAATCAGGATATTTATGTATGTATGTATCATTTGGCTGCTTTTCAACTAAAACCACACAGGAATATAACAGGAAGAAATGAGAAATCACTGCAACCCTGTCCATATGACGTAAGGATGGAGATGAGGTACAGAAAGAGTTGTTTTACTTAAGAAGACAGCTTGATTAGTCTTTCACATTCGAAAGAAGAGCCTCTTGACCTGACCTTGAAGGATGCTGTAGTGCAGTCCCTCAGGCTGGCCTGTGGGATCAAGCTGAAACCAACAGTCTGAGATCCCCCAAGGGTCCCAGATTTATAAGAGGGTGCAGGCCAGGCCAAACAAGCCCACCGATACACAAACCCATGCATCAGGCCTCTAGTCCTATATAATAAAAGGGTAATATGCAAATTTACCCAGGAACTACCAGGAATGACTAGTCGCTATGATGCGCACTGACCACCAGGGGGCAGATGCTCAACGCAGGAGCTTCCCCCTGGTAGTCAGTGCGCTTCCACAGGGGGAGCACGGCTCTGCCAGAAGCCAGCTCATGGCTGGCCAGTACAGTGGCAGTGGAGGGAGCCTCTCCTATCTCCTCAGCAGTGCTAAAGATGTCTGACTGCAGCAGGTGGACATCCCCTTCCCCCCTCCCCTCCGAGAGGGCGCAGGCTGAGCTGAGTGACTCCCCACCCACACACCCCTAAGTGCATGAATTTTTGTGCCCTGGTCGTCTCGTATGTAATAATTCACCTACTCTTCACAACAATCCTGTGAGATTTTTTTTTTTTTAAGCATTCCTATTCTACAAAGAGGAAAATCAAGTTGAATAACTCATCCACGGTCACCCAACTAGCAAATATGGCGTTATGAAGCCAGCTACTCTGACTCCTGAGTATATGCACTCAATCACCACTCCTGAGCAATCTTGGGTAAATGGGGTGGGAAACAGACTAACAATGGAGATGACAAGCAAAACTGTTGGTTGCTATTAAGGTCCTTTGGCGCCATCTGCTGTTGACCTAACGTTGCCCGAGCAAATGGTTTGTATTCCCAAATAGTTGTTTTTTCTTCCTCCTACTGAACCATCTGAATATGTTTTCTTCTTCTTTTGGATCACTTATCAAAACAAAGAGATTGAGAGCAATTCATTCTCACTTAAAAAAAAAAAAAAGAAACCAGTGCCTTGAGCTGGTTGATTAAATTAAGAAAGAGTAAAGAGCAAATTCACCTCTCCAAGTTTGTGCTTGGTTTTAATGTGATCCAAACACTTAGAATAGCCTTGGCTTTGAGAACCATCAGAAAGTAAGATAAGTTCAAATATATAACTGTGGTAGTAGTCGTTTTAGCTGCATAGCAGTGGCTGCCAGATGTTGTTATGGAATCAGCACATTAACTTTTTTGAACTGATGAAGCCTATGTAGTCAAACTTAGAGGAAAAGCCGTTTACCCTCTGTATCCTTGGAATTTTTCAAAATGACTTTAAAATATATCAAGTTAGATATTAACCCAACTTGCGACGGTTTCTTTCTTTGTGACATTTAAGATTTAGCAGGGATTAGGGGATGTTTCCAGATTGCTAGAAAATTTTGATTAGAGTAGAGCTTGGAGGGGGGAAAAGGTATGGCCCTAGGTGGCAGCCCTTCCTCAAAACAAGAGACCCGTTGGCCTAAAGGGTTGAATAAATGTGTGATTTGCTAGAAACCCAAGGACAGGCAGTGTGTTTTATCCAGAAATTGTGGGTAGGTTTTTACCCCCTGGATCATCTATTTCTTTTCTTTTCATTAAAATATAAGGCTGTCATGTAATGTCTAATGTGACCAAACTTTCATCTCTTTTTTGAACAAGTGAGGCTTTGTTTTCCTATATGAAAGCTTAAGAGCACTGAACCGTGGTGAGTAAGGGAACCCAAGGTGATGTCAGGATCCCAAAGGACTCCAGCCTTTTGAGTCAGAAGCAGTGTCTGCAGAGGCTGTAAATTTCTGGAGAAAAAAAATAGGCAGATTGAATAAAAAATTTAAAAAAAAAACACAGTTGTGTAGTTTCCACTGAATACTTGCCTTAGAAATAAAATAAGTTATTACCTTTGCCATTATTTAAGGGCATATAAATGTATGTATTATACATGAGTCTTTAAATAATTTTATCTCATTAATATTTAAATGAAATTATTTAAATTAATGTCTTTATAAAATGGTTTTAACCTTAGTCATGAGTACACATTATGCAGACTACAAAGGCACCCATGGACACAATCTAAGTAAAATTTTTTTGGTGTTAATCCTCACCCAAGGATATTTTTTCATTGATTTTTTTTTTTTTTTTTTTTTTGAGAGAGAGAGAGAGAGAGAGTGTGTGTGGAAGGGAGGGAGGGACACAGAAACATTGATGTGAGAAACACATCAATTGGTTGCCTCCTGCACTCATCCAACCAGGTCAGGGATGGAGCTTGCAACCAAGGTATGTAGCTTTGACTATCCACTGAGCCAAATGGGCTAGGACCTAAGTAAAATTTTAAGATGACACATTTCTCTGGTGAGTTTGTATCATCAACAGAAATTATACCCTTCAGTGTCTGTCCATTACCAGAGCACTCGAGAAAAGTACCCTTTGTTTCATGGGCATATGGGAAATCTCTGTATCTCCCTCTCAATTTTGTTGCAAACCTAAAGCTGCTCTGAATGTATTTTTAATTTAAAATTTTAAAATAATTATTTGTTTAATGTTTTAAGTAAATGTAGAGGAGCCTCAAGGAGACAATATCCGTAGATGTGCTATTTAGACAAGAGGGTGCCTTGGCATGCTTACATCCTCGTCTGGTAGGCTTGACAGTATTGTGAAAATGGCCCATCGGCAACCTGAGGTTGGGGCTATAAAGACGTCCTATCAAACAAATTGTCTTCACAACAAACCACACAGTCTTTCTCCATCATTTCACCTCCTATCAGTTTACCTGTAGAGGGAGAATGGTCTAGTCATATTGAATTGAGCACTCAGACATCTGCCAGTTACATTACTTCCTGTAAATAGGAAAAACTTGGGAGGGAGGGTAGGGGAGTTAAATTGTTTCTCAAAGTTGCAGAAGATATGCAACTCAGATTAAAAAGAAAAAAAAAAGAAAAAAAAGGTTACTCTTTACAGATTTGTATCATACAGGAACAAATGCCTGGTAATCCAATTTTGCAGCCTTAAACCCTCTTCTTTATTTACATTCTCTCTTTAGGTAAACATATCCAGTCTCAGGGCTTTAAATATCACTGATATAAAGGACGCTCAACTTAATCTAGATAGCCGACTTATCCCCAAGACTTAATGATCTACTTAAAATCTATACTTGGAGATCTCTACCTCCGATGTAACGTATTCAGTATAGAACTTCTTTTTCCTTCCTAAACCTGCTCCATCCACTATTTTTCCCTCTCAGTTGAGGGCAATATCATTCTTGCAGTTGCTCAGGCCAGGAGTTATCCTTCATTTCTTTCCCTTACCTCTGCATTCAATCCAGCAGCAAGTTCCAACAGTGAAACGTGTGGGGTGTGTGTGTGTGTGTGTGTGTGTGTGTGTGTGTGTGTACTAGAGGCCCAATGCACGAAATTCGTGCAAGAGGAGGCCTTCCTTCCCCCGGCTGCCAGCGTTGGCTTTCCTCTGGCACCCAGGACAGGATCTTCTTCCGGAAGGTTGTCCAGGAGGATGTTCAGTCTAATTAGCTTATTACGCTTTTATTGTTGTAGATATGTATATGTATTGAATTTGTCCAACCTTTCTCTGGCTCCATACTCTCCATCCATCCTCTCCACTCCATGTCCACGCTACACTAAGCCACTAAAACCCTTTACCTGGCTGACTACTCAAGGAACTTCCAAGCTGGCCCGCCTGCTTCAGTTCCAACCCAGCCTCCACACCCTCCCTGACCCATTCTTTACGCTGCAGCAACTAAATCACACATCACTTTTCTGCTCAAAACTCTCCAGTGATTTTTGTGGAACTTGGAATAAAATTCATACTCTTTACCATAATGGAAAAAGAGCTTCCCTGCCATGTCTCCTGACCACCTGTCGACCCTCTCTCCTGCTATTCCTCTCCACCCCAGCCTTCTTCCCGTGGGCTTGCAGAGCTTTTAACCTCACATCAGTCTTCCCACTGGAAACTGGCACTGGAACTCCCATAGCTGGCTCCTCCCTTTCACTCAGGTCATCTCATGACCTTTTCCTGACCACTTTATCTAATGTTGTCTTCCCCTTTACTCTCCCGTGCAATGTGCCATTTTGATGTTTTCAAAACACGAGTAACTGGAATGTTCGTATATACTTGCTTATTCTGTCTCTCCCCCTAGTACGTAAGCCACAAAAGCAGAGATCTTGTCTGCCTTGCGAATTGTATCCCTGATGCCTGACAGGGACTCAATACTGACTGAATTTGATTTGGGTTCAAGGGGCACCTGGCACTCCCTATGCAAGAAAAGTATCCTCTTGGATGTCATCATGCCACCAAACACAAATGAGGCAGACAGACCTGGAGACTTCATTTAAACCAGAAGTTAGCTAAGCTTTCAAGCCGTTTACTCGCCACTTTCTTCATTCTTCCTAGTAAATCTCCACACTATCAAAACTGCTGCCTCAGCCTGCCCAGCCCACTCCCAGGCCTGGGGCTTCATCCCGCCCACTCCTCTGAGATCACCCAGGTGGTGGCCACAGATACCCTCCTCCTCATGGTGTTTTATTTTCTTTCCTCTGAAAGTATTACACATGCACAAAAAAAAAAAAAAAAAAAAAAAAAAAAAAAAAAAAAAAAAAAAACACGGAATATAGCAAAAAAGGGGAAATCACTTATTCTTCATATTTTGAGCATATTGGAATATTTCTTTATTCTCTTTTCTGTGCAATTTTTTTCCTAGGGATAACCTGTGGTTTAACCTTTTCTCATTATATTGTTAGTATTTATTGGCCTTGAAAACTATACCATAAATATAAATAACTAAATAATATATCACTGTCTAGAAATTTACAGAACAAGTTCTCTTTTGGATCTTTTTTTTAATTCTAATGTGGCCATCGCTTCTCGGCCTTTGGGCTAAGATCAAGTGTAGTATCTAATGTGGCCATGAACATTTATTTTCAAATATAAATATTTGTTTATTTTTTCTAATTTTTCCCCACAATAGTGACTCATGTTGATTTGGCTCTTCATTCAGTCCTGAGAAAATCAGGCAGAGCCTAATGAAACCTTTAAAAGCCCTAAGCATTGGAAAAAACTACAAAAATCCTCCCATGTCATTTACAATAAAATACCAAAAATGACATAGTACCACCCCCATACTTTTTATAGTACACAAGTGTGGAAAGTGCATATGGTTGTTAAACATGTCTGTCCTGATAAACCATAAACTCCATGAACACAGGCACCTATCCATCTTATTCATAGTGCCTAGTACATTGTAAGTGCTGAATAATTATTAGATAGACAGATGTGCAATCAGTACACCAATGAGAACTTAAAAGATAAAGAGGAAAACTGTTGAATCCCAATCCTCCAAACACCAACCCACCTCCCAACACCCCAACTTCATACTTGGCAACAGAACTTAGACCCGTGTCAGTTCCATTTATTCTTCCTACAAATATTTTACAATTTTATTTTAAAATCATTTACACATATTCATACAAAGAAAAATAAATCTCAGAATGGAACCTTGGGACCATGGTAGTTTAAAAAAAAAAAAAATCTCTGATCATTAGCTACTAATGACAAGGTAAGAGGCTCAGCAGTCATTTCTGGAGGTTAGTGTAGTTCCCCACGAGGACACAGGTGAGAAGAATCCAAGAGGCTCCCTCCTCTTCCCTCAATCTTCACCTTGCAGAGGTACTATAGGGGAAAGGGATTTTTTTACACTCTCCCCTAGAAACACTTCAAGACATACAGCAAAGTCCTAAGGTAACAGTGAACCATCTCTTTGCTAGGAATTTGGCAAGATGGCAATTTCTGAACCAACTTACTAGAAGAACTACCAGCTCAATTCCTACTCACAGGTCTAAGAGGAAGAGGGACTGCTGCACTCACATCCCACGTCCCGCTGCTCTCCTTCCACCAAAGGGCACAGAGCACAGCTAATTCCACAAGTGAGCCTTCCTGCTACCCAACACCCAAACGCTGTGTAGCGATTTACCCCAGCAGCTCTTGAGGACCCCTAGATAGTGAGGCCAGCATTCCTGTGTGCAGCATCGTACCCAGGGAATCTGAGCAACAGCCAGGAGAGGTCCAAGAATGACAGAACTATGAGCACCCCTACCAAAACTTGATGCTGCTGAGCCAAATCAATGTTTAAGTCCAACAGGCCAACTCCTGCCATCCCGCCCTAGATATGGTCATCACAGAAGTGCATGGTAGAAAAATGGCCTACACATAACTGCCCAGGGAAGCTGTACTATTATCAATTCCCAACAAAAGTGGGGGGAGGTGTAGAGGCAGACATTACAAATGTGGTAGACCCTATGAGAAATGGCAGCTGATGACAACAGTTACCCTATTATCTCTGGGTCCTACCCAAAAAGCAGCACCAAGAAAGGGCATGATATGCAGAGATCTGTAGCGGGTGTGCAGCCCTTGAATTACCAAGGGACTCAAGAGACACAGCTCATTTTCCTACAATTATGTAGGAACTAGAACAAAGACTACCCGCCCCTACATTGAAGCCACTCCTGAGAGGCCGTACCGCTTATGATCATCAGCCCACCCCCTTGGTAGGCCCATTTGGGGAGAGGGAGTCACATCCAGAGCGGGGACCCCTCCAGGCAGACACTCACAGGGCAGCCCATCCCACTGTCACTGGGGCAGGCCAAACATAGTTAGGAGGGCGGACAGATCCCGAGCATCAGCCGCCCCATAGGCATCACTCTGGCCTAACATTGACAATGCCAATCGCAGGGTGCTCCAGATGTTCTCTGACATGGCGCCCCCTTCGCCCCGAGGGCCACGGCTTTTCCTCTGCATGTTCAAGGCCTCCAAAAAGTGTTCCACAGCCTCCCTGTAGGGAACATGAATGAGTGCTGGTAAGCAAAACACCAAGGAAGGAGGTAGGTCAGCTGGTATGGGGAGAAAGCTGGGGATGTTTAGTCAAATAACAGGAACAGAGAATGGGGAACTAGGGCCAAAGGCAGGGAGAAAAGGTTCATTCGTTTATTACTCAGCAGATACTCTCACCAAGAAGTTCATTTATTCATTACTCAATAGATACTCTCACCGATGAGCCCCAAGGTTAATGCAGCTGATTCCCAGGTTATAGCGGGACCGTATATAGCCTGGTTGTAGCTCAAGTGCCCGACGGTATGCAGCTACTGCTTCTTCACTCTGGTTTCCATTGGCTAGGGTGGCCCCTAGTTTATTCCACAGCAAATAGTCCTGGGATAGGGATGGAGAAGGGTTAGAAACATAACCCAAGCTCAGGTCAGATTCTTCCCATTCCTTCCGCTGTTCACCAATCTGTTTAGCTAATATATGTTACAATCACATTCCTTTCCCCTCAGCAGTTCATTGTGTGGCTCAATGTAACCACTCTCACCATACAGACTCTCTTAAATTCAGATGGCTCTGCACACCCACCCTTCTTTGCCCAATTCTCCCAAGGTAATATGTACATGGAACATGAAATGAACTATCCCACGACTCCAAAGGTCCCAACAAATGATTCTTCCAAAGATACAGAGTGATGTCCTATTTCCATTCCTCCCCTGAGGCTCACATTGGGACGAACGCTGAGGGCAGCTGTGAAACAGTCCACTGCCTTGTCATACTCCCCACTCAGGTTGAAAAGGACCCCTAATCCACACTGCACATCAGGGTCAATGGATGTGGGGTCCAGGCGCACAGCTGCCAGGAAGAGCTCTTTCACTTCAAGAAACAGGGAGCTAAAAAGGAAAGAAAAATGTGGATGGATATGTCTATATATTCCTACCCTTCCAAAACAATTCCTTAATTAGTCAAGCAGATCCCAGAGATTATCAATATATCAGCCATCCTCCTACTCTATTCCCAAGTTCCAATTTAGAAACCCGTTTTCCTGTCTCCTCCCAGCATTACACTGTAAAAGGCAGATTTCCTTCAAGTAGATCCTTGAGTCTCCAGATTTCGAAAATCAAGGTTCTCCTCCTAACTGGGTTACCATTCTCACCCAGGCAGTCCTCACTCACTCAGACAACAGAGATCCCAGGATGCGCTTGCTTGGGCCCAGCCCTGCGCCACTGGCCCCTTCTTCCCCGGGCACCACCAGGTGGGCGTAGGCTGGTGTGTAGCGCAGCCAGTCTCGCAGGGTTTCACAGGCCTGTCGCTGCAGGGACTCATTGGTGAAGCTGACAGCCAGTGCCATCAATGCTGTCCGGTTATCTGGCTTTAGCTCCAGGCACCTGTTTGAACAGAAATGGACAGAACTGGTATTGCAGTGACAATGACACCCATCAGTACCCTGGGATCCAAGCCAAGCTTTGGAATGCATTCATGATGGCCTCACCTGCCAACTCCCTCAGATTAAAGATACAGAGGAATCCTCTACACGTTAAGTTACTAATAAAGTTACAGATCTGAGAAAGGGAACATTTTAGCAGCCAAGGAACCAGCCAGGATCTCACAAATAAAACCAAAAGCTGTAGAAGGAATGGAACCAGTTATCGTCAACTCACCCCAAACCTTACAGAGTTTCAATCATGGGGCCAGAAAGAAGACAAGGATCTGGATCTGGACTCTTATTCTAAAGGCGATTTGGAGAGCCCTGGAAGCCCTTCACCCCGCCCCTCAGTGTACTCACTTCCGTAGGGCGCTGATGGCTAATAGTTCTTGTTCATTCTCTGCCTGTGTGGTACCCAGATACTGCCAAGCCTAGAGAGAAGTTGACAGATTACATCAGCCCTGTATTTACCTTTCCATCCTCCTTTCCTCTGGCTTCCCAACACTCACTATCTCACTCTCACCCCATCCCAGGCCAGCACACTGGCCCTATTCCATCTGGACTACTCTGGGACCTCCCTCAAAACTAGAGGAAGCAGTCTCTAACTTGAAGTCAGAAGAATGAGTCACTCACTTCCATGTGCTTAGGATCCTGCTGCACAGCCGCCTCAAAAAGCAGCACAGCATTCGGCAGGTCCCCATCCTGAAGTCGCCGCAGCCCTTCCTCGAAAGGCTGGGGGTGGTTACGCAGGGGGTTCTCCTCCTCAAACTGGTACCCCTGGAAGGAAGAGAAGCCAAATAAGAACTCATATGAGAAGGAGTCATCACAAAGCAGCAGGAATAGGAGGTGACAGCCAAGACAGAAGGTCTCCAGAAAGGTATCTGAACAAATGATGACAAAATTTCCATATTAATAAGGAGATCATGTATGACTACAGTAAAGTCATTCAGTTTTGTGCTCACACTTCTAGCTCCCGTTCACAATAATTGGAAAGGTAGACTGGCCCACAAACTCTGATCGATGCTGGGTATGAGCTTATTTAGGAACCCTTTATAGGCCTGAATTTCCAAATCCTTGACTTCTCAGCAATGAACAGAATACATGTCTTGCCAGGATTTCCTTACAGTAATGAGGGAAGCTCTCCTTAGCTCTTCACAGGGCATTTCTAGGTATCCTGCAATAGTGTGATAATATAAAGGAAAGGCAATTTGGGACCCTGCCATTCAAATGCAAATCTTATCTAACTCATGGAGTTATCGTGGACAATAATAAGATAGCATTTGTTAAAGCACTATGAAATTTTTAATTTATTCCCCAATTTC